ATTCTCCCTAGTTTGCATACATAATTGGATTATGAATGAATCTCTTGAGATGTATTCATAAGGCTCTTTTAAATTTTATTTTTGCCCATAAATAAAATAAAATATTCCATTTGCCAGCAAATAATAATAAACCATAGAAACCAAAACACAAGCTTAATTTGACAAAAGACATTTTAACTGTACAAGAAACAATAAGAGAGCTGAGCAGATCTGCCACAGTATAACTTGATTCTAATGAGACAACATTCTTCCCCAAAAAAGAATGGTTTTAGCAGCTTGTTGTCATTTGCTGTTTTGGTTGTACCTGACCAGTTGCACTACTGGCCATGTAAAAATCTGCAGAGAAACAAGTTTAGATTCATTGTTAAAGAAGCTAGGCTCCCCCCCTTTTATGTTTACCTACACCATTTCTCAAAAACTGATGAGAATACCAGGCACAGGTAATGACCTACCAAGAACAAGAAGGTTCTTGTAGGAGCAGTCATGCAGCAGTTCATAGGAGCACCACGAAGATTTGATTAAGGATGGAAGGGGAAGGATGCACTATGGTTAGCAAAAACTTCATTAGAAGAAGGATGTGTAAAATGCAAGTATGGTTTTGGAAAATAAAGTGCTTCTTTCACTCCCCAAGAAGAGAGCTGCAACCACCAAACATGAGTGGTCTGTCGGACCATCTCGGACTGCATAATGCGACAAGTTCCAGTGCAGCCATACCTGCACACACCAGGACACAAAGCTGCAGTAATTCAAGGGACCAGTCAATGTGTCCTCTGAGCTTAGTAGGTCACAAAACTGAAAAATCATTGAACATTTCCTGTCATGGCTGTGGCACACGGATACAGTAGGTGTTTATCACGGCTCTACTGGCGTATGAGTGGCCTAGTAAAAAAAAAAAAAAAGTCTTCTGAAGAAAAAGCCTTCTTAAGGATCAGATTTGGATATTAAACTACCTTTCTCCCTCAGCAAAATCATCCATTCTATTTTGCTTTTTTCCTTTAGATAGTGCAAAAAATAAATGCATAAGAAAAAAAACAGAGAAAGCCTTCTGCTCATTAAAAACTCAGAAAGCAATTTTGGAAGCTGCCTGGTTACTTGAAACAGGGATACAATCAACATCATTAAGGAAATGCCTGCATTTCCCAGACTCTTTGCTTTTTGGATGTAACATATGTAACATGTATAAATATTCCTTACCCAAATACTTGAGGCAGACATTTGAGACTTTTGCCTCTAAAAAATCCCAAAACTACAAAAACACCAAAAACATCTTGTCAGGATGGCTAAATCTTGCAGAAAGAAAACGTAAATGACCTATTCAATTTCTTGCATGATTTTTCTTTTTTTTTTTCCCCCTGTGGCATAAAGGCAGCAAATAAAAAGTCATGCTCATGTAGGGTACAGAGATATTAAAAGCTTCCCAAACAACATTCACAACAAACTTCTAAAATCAGACAACATTCAAATGCAATACAGATTAATCATCAGGAAATGAAAATGAGAGTGGAAGACCTCGAAGGTTGTTAGTGTGATGCTTCTGTGCAGCATCCTCGCCACTGCAGTTTTCCCACCAGAAACAGGTCAGCAAAGGAAAATGAAATTTATAGCAAAAACACAATCTCTGCAACATTAACATAAACACAATCTGAAAAAGTATCATGAAAAGGTATTTTGAACATGAAAAGATAAAACTGAAGACCAATAAAGAGAACTAAAATCTCTGTAGCCATTAAGGTGAAAACCAAAGGACGTATTTAAAACAAAAGGACCCACAAAACCTAACAAGTCCAGTATCCAGGCAGACCTCAAGGTTTCAAGCTTTGGGTCCCGTCACAGGAGCCCCTAACAGCTGCTTGCATGGACAAGGAATGTGTTTCAAACAGCCACAGTGACACAGTATTTATTTTCCACACAGGAAAAAACGACAAAGATAAATACGTGTGCTACCTAAAAAGCAGGAGCGTGTGCACGGAGCTGTAGCTGCTGTCCCACAGCACTGCTGAGCTGTAGGCTGTGTGCTGGCAGTGCCACACGGCCCCACGTCAGCAAGGCGGTGGCTGCCAGAGGCTGAATATGCAGCGCGTGTTTGGATGTGTTAGGTAAGTTTCGGTCACATTATAAGGCAAAAAGCAGGAAGAAGGCAAGCAATAGCAAGATATTCACAAAGGATGTTCGCTGTAGCAGAGTATTTTCTACTAAAATGAATCCCAGTTTTCCCCAAACCAGTCAGTATTACTCCGTACTACACACTATTCATTGGAATCTTATCAGTGATTGGAAAACTGCTCCCTCTTCCCCCACTCATTAAGCCCTGGTGGTCTGTACTGCTCTTGCTACTTGTTGAGTAACTGCATCGCCTCAGAGTCCCTGAGAGTTCCTTATACCTGCCAGATCAGAGGGCTCACATTAAAGTACACCCTTTGTAAACCAAAGAGCACACAAAGTCAAAGAGAAAGAGCTGTGGTCGCACTCTTCCACTGCAGTCTCCTCATGTAGTCTTACCAAGATCACTTGTCCTTGTCCTAGGCTATCTGGCTAAAATCCTTTTTATAACCAAGGAGAGCTTTTGCACAGTATCTTAGTATTACAGAAACCAATTTAAAAACAATAAATAACCCTTTTAAACAATGTCTGATAACCATTCACCAAAATGAGGTACTACACTCCAAAATCTCATACAGTTAGGTAATTGTTGCTAAATGTTTGAGAACAGTCAGTTGAAGTGCTATACATTCAGAGGCAATTTAAGATATTTTACTGGTATTTTTTGTACTCTAACGACTGCAGATACACAACTGTATTTGGAAAAGCTGAAAACCAACTCACTATATGGTGAGAGATAATGAGTTAAAATTAAAGGTTGCTACTGGCTTGCTAGCCCATCCCCCTTTAGCTAATCTGTCATGTAATGAAGAGAAGCACCTAGCATAGGACAGCTAGCTGCCGGCTCACTTACAGCGAGCTGATTAAGAATGTTCAACCAACAGCAGACTGCAGACCTTTCCAACGAAAATAAATAGACTGTATGCAAATGTGTTTGTCACTTTGACAGCATGTCTCAATTAAAGCATCTCGCTGCTGTTGGTAGGCTCTCTCACTGCAGTGGTATGGACGAGGCTTACTGCATTACTGATACACAGGGCTTGACCCTAATCCGCATGCATGCATTTTAAAAAAGTCTGCCTTTGCCATATATACCAGCATAATACTAGCAGACATAGAAAGCAAGTGACAATGAGAAAAAAGCCTCTTTCATCCTCTTCAGTTTATAAGAACTGTGAATGCACAAACAGCCCTTATTTCAGAGTTCTTGTGGCTTTTTAATTGTTCCCACCTACTGTATTCTAGACAGAGTTAAAAGTGACGCTAAAATCTCTCCCTTTAATCACTAGTTAGAAGCCATCTCCCATTTAAGCAGTAAATGCTGCTTTTTTTCCTCCCAAAAGCCTTAATTTGTATTTCATAAACCTGACCATCTTCGCCTTTTGAAACAAAGTATGATTTAATTTTCAGTTTGGCATCGGGCTACTGGGAAAAGAGGACTTGCAAAAGGACAAAGGCTGTAAGTGAGATAGCTGCACAACTGCGAAGCTGGCTGATTTTTTGGAAAGCAGCGTTTGTAACGTAATGTCAGCAAGAGGCATTCAGCAAGCGAGTCGTTCACCGCAGCCAGAGGTTCACTAAAGCTAATGTGTTTTTCCTTTTGACACAGAGAAAGTGACCATTCAAAAATCTCATGAATTTAAATTCACAATTTCCATTTGATTATTCATTTCATTAATCACTAAAAAGCTTGAACCATCCATCTTTCATAAAATCCCTATCTGGATTTTTGGCTGTGTTAAATGAATTGAGATCACTATGTTTCTCCAGTGCTCCCAGTTCTTCTCAGCTGTATTGGCACAGAAAGTAAGTGACAAATAAATTGCTACTGCAAATATTTAATTGAAAGAGAATCTGTTTTTGAAAAAAAAAAAAAAAGAAAAAAGAAAAAAGCCCCCAAGAAATTACATTTAGCACACCAGAAAAAGTTCTGAAAGAAACAAATCAAATTCTAAAATGATACCGACAACATTGCTCTGAGCAATGATTATATCTTATATACTCCTGCCTAGTACCTAACCAGTCAGTGCAGTTTCTATTAATAAATACTTATCTAAAAGTCTGGTTTGCTTCACATTTTATAATTATCATCCATCTTATAATTTTTTTGAAGTCACATTATGGTTCCTTAGGAAAAATCAAATCCTACCTTCTGTTTTTTGATCATGATTAGATACATGCACAATACATACAGAGAAAGAAAATAATTGAAAGAAAATAATGTTATTTTTGAGTCAAGCAGCACTTAATAGGGGAACACTGGCAAACTGGTAGTAAATATTGTATGTTTTTCCATGATAATCACAGCAAATTCAACATTTTCTAAATAATTAGCTCTTAAAAACACACTCACTCTTCTGCAAACATATTGAAATAAACATTTTCAGAGTAACTAATGCGCACATCTCAGTTGTCAATGCCGAAATAGAGTACATAAATAAGCTATTAATTGATTTTTTCATCTTAGTTCATCACCTTTAATTTTCAAAGAATGCTAAAATGCTTTAATAGTTGGATGTTCCATATTGACACTAATGATCTGTCTGGATAACAGAGATCATTTTAAATTATACATACTCACTCCTGGGGGCTGTAGTACTTTGCATGCTAAAATGAACTGCAAAATATCTTATAAAATTGCTACAATCATTTTACTTTTTTTTCCCCCTAAATTGACAGAGGATTTATTTTCCTTAAAACAAACAAAAGGAATCTGTGAGCCACGGACAACAGGTTTTTAAAATCCCATTTATATAGATATAACAGAAATTAATGCATAACAGCATAACCCAGTCACAAAAAAAAACCAAACAAAAACAACTGGCATATTTGAGCTTTTTCTGAACTACTTTTGCTCCTTCCTGAGTCACACAATTTAAAAACCTAACACCAACACGTACCTGACCAAAATGTACTGTGATTGGTCTTCTGTCCTCTCTTAATTTAGTGTCCTTCTTTTCAACCAATGGAGAAGGTGCTGGTCTTGGTAGAGACTGCTCTGGTGCTGCAGAACACCCATTCTCAGCTATGTCCTGTATGGAAGAAAAGGTGAACAGCATGGCCAAAAACATTCTTGATTAATAGCACAAAGAGGAACACTAGAAGATAATGTTGAATACCCACTCATATGTTTGCAAGAAGAAAACAAAGTATAGAAAAGTAAACCTCATTATAATAAAACATTTCACTGCATTTTGTCAATCAAAGGTATTGTAAACAACCACACTGTCCTTCAAATAGCAATGCTGCATGCAAATACATTCAAAAGAATGTCTGACTTAAACATGAAAAAGCTAGAAAATATATTCTGAGAACAAAACATAGCTCAAAATTTTCATTCTGTGAACAAAGTCAATAGAATCCCAGGAACAGGGCTATTCCGATTGTTGATTGGTTGCTGTGGGGTTTTTCTTGCAAATGGAAACATTAATTCTACTAACCTACTTCACAGAATGATCTGTAATAGAACAATTACTTGTGGAAGTAGCAAGGAGAGATCAAACTCACAGCTTAGTTAACTTTGTATCTCATCTTTGAGTCTGTGCATACTGAGTATGCCTGCAGGAGATTATATAAAACAAACTGCTGCATAGCAGGATGCTTTTTTGTTTTGTTTTGCTTTTGAGGTTACTCCTCATCTTCAGAAGTAAAGTGACCCATCAGTCTAGGTTACAAGACCTGGCAAGTGTATGGATGGTATGTCTAACACAGGTTTTGAAAAAGACAAAGGCATGCAGACACAAGGAATCAGAAAAGGAGAAAAGAGTTTGAAAATCAGTTGAGAAACAGTCTGTAACGCAGTGGGCCCCAAACCTTAAATCTCTTTGCAACAATGTCAAGGAAATAATGCTTGGTAAATATAGAGAGAAACCTGCACGCACTGTAGCTCTGCAAGACTGACCTAAGGTTGGCTGCTGACACACACTGCTTTGATTCACTGACCTTTGACATGCCCCCTCAAGTTTCCGTCTTGCTAAGGTACAATAATGAGACATGTAAGCTGATGGCCAATTAGAAATGGTTCCTTTGGACACAGACTGACCTAATGCGTTTAGGTCAAATGAAACAAAAAGCTGGACGGACTTTCTAAAGGGCTTTGTCTGCTCCACAGAGAAGCTGAGAGACCTTTTTAGATCCAGCCGGTAGAGCAGTGGTTCACCACTATGGGCATAAGGATCATGGGGAAATTAACAACTTCTTAAGGTCAAACTAGAGAGAAAAACTTTTTCCTCCCCTCTCCCCCAGCAGCAGTACAATGCTACCTTGTTTTTATAAAATACATCCATGTACACTGAATTAGTAACAAAGCCAGAAGATAACTCAACAATGAGAAATGTAAGTTTCTGTCAAATTCATACTTCTGCTCCAAAACATCACCAAACTACCCAGGGGTCTGGTCAGTTTTGGAATCACATCACCTGTGGCAGCAACACAACTGATCTGACGTAACACAATTAAAGAAAAGTTTTAATACAGCCTAGCCATACTAAAGGCGCACCAAGCCAAGCTCCAGGCCTTTGGTGCACACATTGCTCACACGTCCAACACATCTGCTGAGCTGCCCTGCAGCTCTAACCAAGGCAACAGATAGCTGGGAACCAATGGAGAACAAAGCACCTCCCAGAAAAGGCATTCCAGAAAAATGTAAAGTGGATGCAAAAGATTGGACAGGCATGCAGTGGGAAAGGAAAGAGAAGGTGTAGACAGATCAAAGCCATTCAGCAAAATCCCCTAAGATGTATAACGATCACTGCAAGTCCTTGTGGCTTTTACTTCTGTACTTCTCTGATGATTTATTGCATACAAATGATAATATTTTCCTCAAATGTATTTCCAATGTCCTCAAAAATATATAATTCAATTTAAGTCCTTCAAAGACTGTGACAGGCCTTCGGTCCACTATCAGACTGAATACAGCTACTCAGAGTTCTGTGAGCGCAGAGCACAAGAGCACATGATGGGGACACAAACCACAAACAGGAAATCAGGAGACACCAACTCTGAAATTCTGTAAAATGTCCGCTGCTAAAAACCGTGCTTGCAAGCACAAATGACTGAAGAATTGCAGTGGACCACAATGCAGAAAGGCCTTGAAAAGGCACCTTTCCCAGTGCTGCTGAATGAAAAGCAGTCACATCTGCATGCCACTTGAGGGAGCGGATTTCCAGCCAGAATGCTGACCCGTTTTTCCATATCGCTTTTGAGATCAGTGTTGGGACTTCATCTGTGCTGTGTAAACACATCTGTATGGCTGGAGCCTGCAAGCAGTTCTTTGCACTGCCATGCACCATTCTGTGTGGATGATGTCCCACGTCTGACTGCTCAGTTCTGATACATCCCCAATATGGGATTTTGTACAAGCCAGTAAGACATTCCAGAAGTAGTTTAAGTCATCTATCATTCAAGATAACAAAAAGCCTGAGTCCTCTCTCCCAGAAGAGAGCAAAAAACAAAACAAAACAAAACAAACAAACAAACAAAAAAACAACAGAAAGGTTATTCCTTACTTTAAAAACCTCCAGAAATACAAAAACCTAACAATGCCTTTTTTAAAAAAAGAAAGAAAAAGAAAGTACAATTTAAGAATATTGTTAAAACAAAAAAGACCTTTTACTTCAGGAAAAGAATATATTTTATGAATTACTGGATAAGGACTATCACACTCTGCAGTTAGCTCAGTAGATAAATGGCGCTTCCCCTAACAACTGTCTGTCCAGGGACAGTCTTTGCTACCTATTTATTTTAAAGGTGGAACTTCAGAGCAGAAGCAAGATATAACTAGGCATATGTACTTTAAGCTGAATAAGGTTTTCATCTGCTTAAAAATGTATTATTAATTTTTCTAGGGATTTGATATAATGGAATACAAATACTGTCTATTAGAAGCACAAGAAGCACGTGCCAGAACATCCTTGGGTTATTTCATAAACCTCTAAATGAGATGTTTCCAGCAGCACTGATAATAAAGCACTGACAACAGCCCATTGATAACAGACATTAACTAGAGCCACACGGGGCTCTAGTAAGTAAAATAATGTTGAATACATTAATGCCAAGTGCCCTACCATTTATATAAATTGTCTTATCCATAAGCTTTCAGTGAGTTACATTCTCCTTACTGAAAGTTGAGGATGGTACCATTCGCATTCCTCCTTCTTCCTAATTCTATGTAGTTAAGCTTCAAACAAGCCAATAACAGAGTGACTTGACCACCACGGTCCATTTGTAAAACAGAAAAAGCAGCCTTTACAAAAGGGAAAAAAAAAAAAAGAAAAGAAAAGAAGGAAAGAAAGAAAGAAAGACAAAGAAGAAGAAGAAAAAACTTCTGTAGCAGATATAAAATAAAGCTACCATGCTGAATCTATTAACAATTATTTGCTATCACTCATAAGAATCCTCTGAAAACTATTTCTGTTGCTTTGAAATACTGTACCACAAATGAACAAGGGATGGAAATAGAACCCCATTCAATCTCTACTATCATATTAAAGAAGGACCTTACACACACCACAGTGACCTCTCAACAGGTCAATCCTGCATTTCCCATTTGCAATTCAAACCCAAGACTGGAGCAGACCAAGGGCAAAATGGGCTCTTGATTATATTTAAGAGGTCATCATTGCTATGCAGAGTTGTAGGAAGCAGACCTCTAGCTTTATTGCATTTTTAAATTCTGTCTTGTACAGAAGCTGCTCGTATTTGGCAGTGAAAGCTGGAAAAAGGATGTTTATATTTGACTTTTCCTTACCAGTGGCCTTCATACTTTCTGTATTAATAATGGGAAATAATATTTTAAAATGCAGTGGACAGTAAGTTCAGTTTAAAAATAACCTCGGGTTATCTATAGAATATGAAAGACTGTCACCCCAAATTTGGCAAAAACTTAGCATTTAACAACAACAAAATTTCAAACACAAAACATCTGTGCATACTGCAAGTAAATGCATGAAAAATACAGTGTGCACCCTCACACATTTCCACCTAATAGACATAGAAATAGAGCAGCACAGGCATCTAGATTAAAAAAATATAAGAAGGTATAATTTTTGCTATTATCATCTTAAACAGAGCAGTATCTCTTCAGAAATATTTCTCATATTACACTTTAAATGGAGAAGAGGATGGGAAAGAAAAGATCTACTGAAAAAAGAAGAAGTGGAACAGTATGTGTCAGCTACCTACAGAAGTCTTTTAAGCTCCTGTGAAAATGTATATTTGAACAACCACGTTCCACTACTTCATAGAAATGCCACATAGTAAGAAAAGTGAAACAAAATTGGGCCATTTATTTGTAAATGTTGTATGTGTTTTTTAAAAGGGAATGCCTGCTGCTTGAAGGACTAGGAAGACAAAAATAATAAAACAAAGCAATGAAGGAACGTTTCTCAGCCGTTTATACAAATGTCACAGAATAGCATACAATTATATTAGCATTTAAGATACAGGAAAACAATCTGGTTATTTTACACACCACCAACTGCTTCAGAAATGCACATGAGAAGGGCAACCATTTTATTATTCATGAAGGTTATGTCCAGAAGAGAAACACATGGAATTATATATAAATTTCCATGCACAAGAAAACTGTTTCATGTTTCTATTTAATATTTTCATATTATACCGCAAGTGGTCACATACAAAGTAGTAAATGTGATGAAATGAAATAGAATTAAAAGCATCTGAAGCAGTTTTATCTTTCCCCAAACCTCTCACAATCTGCTAGAGTATTTACAGACTGTGCACTGTACACAAAGTTAATTTCATGAGTTTATAACCCTGCTACAGAAGAATCCCTTTGTATTAATATTCTGCGGACATGTTAAGGCAGATTTCTGCTTGTGCTGTATAGAAACATTTGCAGTACTACCTTAAGAAATTCAGTGAAAAAATTACTGCTAGCACAGACTAAACACACGCACACACACACAACCCTGTTATGCAACAAATTCTAAATAAGACCGTCAGTTATATTAACAAATTAGCTATCTTGTTTTTCCAAAACTCTCTAGTAGCTCTGCTTCAAAGAATAAATAGAGAATCTGAAGTAAACCAAGGCAGAATCAACCATTCATCCATAAGGCATGTATCAGAACGACCATGCTTCTGGCTTAAAAGGAGCAATGAAAATTGGATAACGCTTTCCTCAAACACAATTCAGTGTTCTGGGAATTGCACTGTTTACAAACAAAAACAGATTCAGAGAACAGCAAACAGTTTGAGTATATTTTGCAGCAAAAATTCAGCTTTGAATTGAATATAAACACTTAATTCAATTCCTTCTGCCTAAACTTTACAGTATATGGTCATGAAGTGTATAAATCCTTTGCCCAACAAGGGATGCTGTGCTATTTTTCCTGCAGAAATGACATCAATCTGCCATTTGGAAGAAGTTCACTGCTATTTCAGTAAGAAAGATCTCCCAGTTCATGCAAAGTCCCCTTCCATAATGCCCCAGCAAAATGGACAGGAGATGGACCATTCCAAACAGAAAACTCTATTTTCTGGCTTTTGTGGGTTTAAGTCAGAGTCTTAATGTGTTTGAAGATGGCTGGATTTTTTTTGTTGTTGTTGTGTTGTTTTGTTTTTTTGGTCTGTGAATATTTATAACAGTGTGAAAAATCCAGGACAGCTGGTAATGCATTTTGAAGTGTGCTAACAACACTGTATCAAACAGCTTCCTATTGATCACATAATGCTTTTTGTGACTAAGTGTTTCATACATGGTGCTTACACATTTTGAATAAGAACTTCAAGTACCTTTTGCTTCAAGCGGTTTTTCACTTCTTTTATTCCCATTTTTGCATGATCTTTTGCCTGCATGAAAAATTAATTTAAGTTAAAATCTCCCTCTATTTCTAGCAGTAACTCTGTCTGATATCAGCACATCAAGATTCACCTGCTTCAGTTACTAAAAATGGCAAGGAAAAAATTGAAACACATTGAAACAAATAGAGAGCTAAAACAATAATAAAGAAATACTAAGCATACATTCAATTTTACAGAAATATTGCTTTCTGCTTTGATGCCAGAGGCATCTTTCATCTCTTCACATTCTACACCCTCTGTCCTTCCCCCTACCTATTTATCTTTGCTACTGGTTAATGATCAATACCTGCAAACTTCTTCCTGGATGTCTGTTCCATTTAGTAGAACCAATTTCATCCTACTCATTTCTCTCAGGTTGGAGAAAAGCAGGAAAAGAAAAATAGTTATCTCAATGCTTTTTGTAGCATTATTTCCTAAAACTGAGCTTACAGAAATCTGTGCTTGTTTCTGTGCTGTTTTGCCTTGCACAGCGAAACTGGCAGCTGCACATGACAATACAGTAACATGCTACTGTTTGTTAACAGAACCAAAAACATTTTCATTTAAAGAATAACTCAGTAAGTTGGACTCTAAATAAGTATGCATAAGAAATCTCTAGGGAAAATTAATTGACATTTAGAAAAGATGGAACAATTTGGAAAATGAGAGGATTCCCTTATTTCGATGAAACTGCAAGCAGAGAAACCTGAGGTAACAATGATTTCCTACTGAGTAATGATGAGATGGTAGAGCTGCTTAGCAGAGTATACAGGCACTATTTCCCAGAAATAAATAGAATGCATCATCTATACTTACAAAAGAAATCGCAGGTTCTCATTCTCCTCTGCATTTCAATTATGTTTAAATTTCAAAATGACTTTTCTATTTAAATTTGAAATTGAAATGAATACATATTTCAAATAATTTTTTGAGTCCAAGAAAATGAATTCAAGCCTTGAGTTTCATTTGAAAGGTTAAAACAGGAATATAATTAGACTCTTATCTCAGTAGTAAGCCAATACTGGTACTTACGAACTTATAGACAGTCTTCATGGCAGGGTTAGCTTTGGTCTTCACTGTGTTTAAAATGGCTCCACTTCCTTTCTACAATTAAAGTAACAATGGAATAAATTTTATCAAAGTTCCTTAAAGCCCACAGCAGTCCATTCTTAACATCATTCTTAACTTTAACAAAGCATTACCTATGTTTATTAGCAGAGCTCAGTATTACAATCTTAAATTAAATGAGAAAGAACAAAAGTAAAAATAGATTGAATCCTTCTTTCTGTTTTACTAGAGGAAGCCTGACTGTTTAACAGAATGGTTCTCAGATTAAAAGATGTCAGTTTCTTGTGGTAATAACAGGTAACTCATAAAACAGTATTATATGATTGTTCCACTCACCCTCAAGGTGTTCTGTACATTGCATTAAAATCCTAACCATGTTTAATAAAAAAGGCATCCTACCAAATCAATATCGGAGGCAGAAAACACAGTTTCAGGAAGCCCTAAATATTCAATTGGAAAAAAAATATATTTTTTACTTTCCTTTTCCAAGATCTAAATGGATAAAGGGATAAATTGAAGGAGAAAGAAATCTAACTACTAAACAATCCTAGAAAAGCTGATTTGCATGTGATAAATATAATAAGTCATAAGGAAGCACAATGCCAGACAGAACAATCCATTGGTTTTTTACACATCTTCCACACACCACTGACTATTGCTGAATTGTACCTCACTTGATAAAAGAAATGGGCAAAACTGAAAGAATCAAATCTTATACAACTTTGTGTTTTCCTATTTTTGTGCAAAATCATACTTTCAGACATCAGATGCATAAGCAATCAATTTTTAAAAATTGCTACATATGTTTCTACAGAATAATTGATCTTTAACAAAAAATATCAAACATCAAATGTAATTACACAGATTTTCATATTAACTGTCAGCCATCCACCATTCCTATAATTTTAAAATCGTCATCCTATGTATTTATGTACAGTAATGTATGTAGGTTTTTCCATCCAACTACACTATGAGATTTTTTACATTACTATCATAAGTATAGTTCATTCAGAATTATCAAGATAATACTGGGGCCAGCCTTTTTGTATAAGGAGCATAATTCCATTCATAACCAGAAAAAAAAGGCAAATGGAATGGTACAAAAACAAGTTTGTCAGGAAAGAAACTGACCCTTCCTACTGACTCATAGTCTCAAACAAGAAATATTTTATCCTTTGATACATCGTATCATATTTTAGGCACTAAAAGATGTCTAAAATCAGACGTCAATTACTACTATGAGTAGCGTTTTGCAGTGGTGATGGTCCCTTTTCTTTCCTTTTCTATTAGTAAAGAAGGATAAAACACATTTCTTTCTCAAATAACACTTATTTCTATCTGTTTCCAAGAGAGATAAGAATTCCTATGTTGATTTTACTGTATGTATATAAATTTTTTTTTCAACTGAAGAGTGTGTGAGTTTCTCACAGCTAAGCTCAAATTCATCACAGCTAAACCCTACAGGAAACAAGTTAGTCTTGTTCTTGTCTACAGCCATGCAGAACAGTTCAATGGACTAGTGAGAGTTAGAATGCCTGTTGGAAGTGTTTTGTGTTCTTACCCTCACTGTAGAGAGCCACTGGAGATACAATTTGTCACTACCTAGACAGAACCACAAAGATAAAATGTAACTCTCCCACATGGAAAACAAGCTAGAAATGCAAAGCATTAGCACTCAGTGATTCTAGCAGCATGAATACTACAGGAGGGGATAATCGCGCTTCCATTTTACTGTAAACAGCAAAACTAAAAAATGATCAGGTATTTACATTTTTCTTTTACACGCTAAGAGGAATCTCTATTTTATCTGGATTTTCTTTCAGGCATTTCAGAATGCTGAGATTTTTTAAGGTTGCCAAAAGAAACATCAGGTGACTCTGGGTAAAGACACGTTTTTTTCAGTGTCCGGTACCGCAATAACTCTTTCAGTTGTACTTCAACCAAGAGGTAAAGCTGAGGTTTTCTAAGGCCAAACAGATTTTATTCAGACTGTGATAAGTTACTCAAAGTTCCTTATGCAGAAACAAAAATTTAAAATTTAAGATACTAAAAGCGATCACTGTTAATTAGATGAGCGCAAACGATGTCATGATAGTGCAAGAACAGTAAATCAGGGGCAATCGCTGAAATTACTTTAGAGGACCGCCTTGCTTACCTGCATACTCTCCCATATTTATCTCTTCTTCAAAAGCATCATTGAAGCCCTCTCCAGAGTTAAGAAGATCCAGGCGGCCATCGATGAACTACAATATCAGCATGAAAAGAGAGTGTTTTCCAGAAAGATTTTATTCTACATTTGCAGCAGTAAGGACAATGTTCTCATAAGGAAGTGACCCAGAAAGGTAAAATGCTTACCAAAACAAAGTGCTATAAAAAATAACACGTCTGTACATCTATGTTCTCAGCCCCCTTAAGGCAGTAACATCATATTCAACAATAATATGTTTTCTGTACAATAAAGAAAGCAATAAAAAACAGCTGTACTGCAAAATACTCTCCTGCATTAGAGCAATTAGAGCAATGAAGCCAGTACCTGCTTAAAGAGCTGGAGCTGAATGGCATTCTGAAGGAACTGCCTCATGACTGCAGAACGATGGGATACAAACGTTTCTTCACAAAAAGTGATGGGTTCACCCTGTAGAATTCAGAGGATTAAAACTGAAGAAGCTTGTAATGAATCCATTTAAGTACACTGTCTCCATTTTATCTACCTCCTTTCCAAAATAAAGAGATAAATAAAACTTGCATTAAGTTCAGCAAACTACGGCTTATTTCCAGGTTTTAATCTGGTAACTGAGAAACAGGTTAGAAACTGTGGCAAATTATGCATCATGAAAATAAAACACATTCACTTTCCATACATACTAATAAAAATGGGGAAGAATCTCTCATCAGCCAAAGTAGGTAATTTTACTTACTGTTTCCAAAATATGACACAAGGTCATCTAAATTTTGTGTACTGTGCTCATCTTTTCTTCAGTTAACCCGCACAAACTGGTCAGTAATGTCTACTCAGTTCTTTCCACAGTTCAGAAAGATTACACTTTCATATACTGAACTGAGTGAAATTTCTCTTTTTCACATCCTTGTTGGCAAAAGACAGAGATTGTTTTGCAGCTCTACTTTTATCTTATTTTAATGAGTTATGTTAATGCTGAAGTCTGCTGTGCACCTGCCATAAGGGCACAAATTACCTCCACACTTAAATTGACAAATACTCAGTGTAACAAGCAAATATATTTACTGAATTAAAACCAAGAAAGTAGCAAAGCAAGATAAAATTACACTGATGTATAATTAATATGAAGGCTTTTTCATAACCATGTTAAAATATATTTGTTGGTTTTTTTTATTTGTTGAGAGTTTAGAATCAATATTAGACATTAAAAAAATCTGAGAGCACACCTTTAAATGTGCACTACCCTTGCATTTCCAAAAGCCTTTTGTATTAGAAACCTGTTTCACATTGGCCATGTGAAGGCGGGACAGCAAGGCGAGGGCAGGGCCGCTCACAGCCCCACTCACTGCACTGCTGGAGGGTGCTGGGCTTTCCCCATCAGCTTCTGCAGGAAGCTGTCACGTGGCCACCAAACTGGCCCTGCCACTGTCACCAAACAGTGCGAGCAGTTCTGACAGTTTTTAATGCAATTCATGAGGAATGTGAAGGATTTACTTGCCTTAAAATAATCAGAAGGTAGTAAGATAATTGCTCCTGACCCCAAGGAATTGGAGCATCAGAATCAACGTGAGACTACATGATGTACCTCACCCCTAGCTCCACAGCCAACAAATGCCAGAGGTCACAGGGTGTTCTTAACCTGAGGAAAGGACCCATCCCAGGTGAGCACCTGAACAAATGTATGAGCCCAGCTGGGTCTTTCCCAGATAGGAGCCACTCCTAGGACAGTTCACTTTTCCTGGAGCTAAAGAATTTCCAAGATTTTGGAGGAAAAGCAGGTTTCTTATGTGACAACTATCGCTTCAGAATGGTTAACCTAATTTTAAAAATACCAACCCGTCTTCGATTGATAATAGCAGGTATTTACTTGATTAAGGCTTCCCCAGATTTAGCTGCTGGAACACAACAAAGGCTGCATGAAAACCATTTGTGGCTAACATAGACAAAATCTGGAGTGTGAAAACAGCAGGAACAATACCACAAAGAAAAGCATAGATTTAGCTCATGTTCAGATTGGAGCAGTAGTTCTCTACAAGGCGGTTTAGCTTTCATTTAATCCTCACTTTCTAACTATTATAATACAAGCTTTGTTTCCTATAACCTACAACGTAACATTTGTCCCGTGGCAGAGGGATGTGAGTGCTGTGGACAGCAGGCTCTGCCCAGCAGAAGCTCCCCAACACTGCTGTGCCCAGAGCCAGCAGTTCCTTGTGCCCAGCTGAGCCTCACTCCGCTCCTCACAGCACACGCACAGCAGCTGGGGAGAGCAGTACGGTGCTACAACACTTCTCTCCCCGAAGTACTAATGACTGAGTTTGTTCATTAGGTTGATTAGACCTTTTGACTTCTTAAGAGCCAATTCAGGCTCAACTGCTGCTGGATGATAGGAAAAACTTTAATCATCAAGGTCAAGCGTGAGCTTTTCAGCTCAGAAGGCATTAGTACCTCCCATCCTCCACGACTTCCAGAAGGGTGAACACACTGTTGCTAACCTCCATCCACAGCTTCATTACAAAATGGCAAGGTGGACAATAAGATCATTTTCTTGACAGATTGAGTTAGCTGTAAATTATGACGCTTATCAGCTCTGCTTTTACTTACAGATGACATTATACGAGAGGGGATAAGCTAAGAATCATAGATATTTGATGAAATCAATGGTCCTGTTCACAGGTAAAACAATTACAGTGACTTCTTATAAATCCTTGCTAATTCCAATAATTAGAATGTAGGCCCTAATTTATCAACACCTTGAATTTCCATTTTTCTTCTCTCCAACTAAAAACACAGGATCATTGCAAATACTCTGAATGTGCAGGCAAAGCAACCCAGCAAGGCAACTGATGTATCTGCAAAGTTAGATAAACACACCTATACATCAAGTTTAGGTAACATCATTATTACTGTTTTAGAATAGAGAAGTTCACACATTTCAAAGAAACATAATCTACGACCGTAAAGCAAGAAAAGAAACTTCCAAATATGAGTTTAGAATTTTGGACTCCTAGATGTATTGAAAAAATAGGTGCCTTCACACACCTACCTTTCTATGAATATTTTATATTCATATGGCATGACAAAGTTCATCAGAGCAGTGCTGTTTGCTCACGACCCCTAAAAAGCCGAAAAGTTTCAGCCCACTTCCGATCTGCCGCCAGCACTACTTTAAAACTGGGATTCTCTTACATTCTAAAATAATGTTTAAAACCTGCTTAACGAAGCAAGTGAGAAATGAAAGGAGGCCAGGACTGATTTAAGTCGCTCCTATAGTTTCAAGAAACTCGCTGTTGCATATTTTACAAAGCCCCAAAGCAAACTGAAATACAAAGCCTGGTTCTGATCACCTAGGCTCTAAGAGTCTGACAGTGACATCCCAGGCTTTCAGGACAATCACTTCTCAAAAAGCAGAACTTTCTTTCAGACAAAGTTGCAGGAGCTCCTGCAGACAGTTACTGTCAGAGAGAATAGAACCAGACCCGAACTGCCTGAACTACCCTCCTGCAGACAGGCCAGCTACCTGGCTACTGCATTAACTTTCACAATGAACAGAAAGGACTAAAACTATGTGTGACAGAGAAGATAGCACAGGACAGAGAAAAACTTGGAGGTGGGGACAAGGGCAAACACCAACGATTCTGGAAAGACACACGGGTGCCCAGGGAAGTCACAAAGTCCAACTATTTCCACTCTAACCACAGAACGGACACCCAACATGCATGGGACAACAGGGCTTCAAGGCCACCATGTGCCTGCTGGAGAGCACACAAAGATAAAAACGACAGCTCTTTGCTCTTGCACACAAAAAGATTTCAAAAAATTTAGTTCTAAGGGTTAACAAAAAAGCAAATAAAGATACGGAAGACTTTGTTTAGAAAACCCTCAAGTTACACCATGGAAGAGGTATGCAATCTCCTCTGCATTATCATGGTCAGCATGTGGTGCAGGGTAATGAATTTTGTGCTGCTGTATGCATGCCTTTAAACCACGTAGGTGCTCTTTCAAAACCTCTCTAATAAATACACAAGCCATTAAAGCTGCTCTGTATACTACCCACGAAATGAAAAAATGTGGGTGGAATTTAAAGGTGCAGAACAAGTTGACAGTCTGACAGTCTACAAGCTGTAAGTCTGGTGTCAGTACTCCAGGCAGCCAGAACCCAAACATACAGCAAGAACAACGATGTGTAAGAGATCCATATATCACTGTTTCATTACCAATTAGATGTTACAAATGACCACATCTTTTACTAAAATTGGTTATGCAGCAGGTGCCAAAGTAAAGCCTGCAGAGTTATTCTAGGAATAATCATTCTTAATTCCATCCAGACTTATAAGGAAACTAAAAGTACAAGAACAACTCACTGATCTGGATATATATATATCAACGTCAGATACAACAGCGACCAAAAGTAAGCCACTGTTCTGCAGGCCTTTCAAGAATTGTGATTACGACGTGAAGGAAAGATTAGCTCATCACAGCTGAAGAAGGATGATCAGTCAGCCAGCAGGATTCCATAAAGAAAATCTGAAATTGGTGATAGACACCTGAGAGGACACTGCCTCATTCAGCTTGCATTTGCAACGACAAATAACCTCCCCATAACTAGTACATACATTCAGCACAAGAAAGCTCTTTGCATCTGCCTCAGTCATAATGGAATCAAGAAAGCATGGATCAAACACTCTGCATTAAGCAAATGGTACAGAGCTTTATTAGCATTTCAAGATGCTGCTCAGGAACAAAGAAATCACATGCTCAGAGATTTTACCAGACTTCTTCTAAAGAAAAGTAAATTAAGACTGTTCAAAAAGAAACCAGTCTACCAGGTCTGAAAAATTAGGATTTCTAAGAGTAATCTTGAAACGTATTTCAAAATCATGAACTTATCAATCCAGACTGCACTCCTCAAACACTTACAGTCTCATGCAAATGTCTGTTTTCATCATCAGTCCAATTTTGGACTTCTTATCATTTTCCTCAATACAGTAAATAACCACTATGGGTAAAGATACACCAAGAGTGAACTTTTTTTCCTACTTAAAAAAAAAAAGACAGTATTTACAGCATGTGTATTGTAAATCTTATTAAATCATCTATTAAAAGTATCAAACAAAATGGTACATTTCCCTAAACTCTCTTGCAAGTGCTGGTGAATTGAAATTCCTGTTTGACGGCTGTCATTTTTCGGCACGTGGTCTGATAACTCCTGTAAGTATACCACTGAAGGACAAATAAAAGGGAGAATGACTGCAAGTCAGGCAAATCACTGACATCAATCATAACACTCAACCACATCAACACTGTCTTCAAAATGTTGTATGTCAGAACTTTCCATACACCTGTGCCATGGTTCATAGGTACAGGCATGGGCAGCAAGCTGCGCCAGCGACAGAGGCACCATTACAGTGTTTGGGAGCCTTCTTTATAACATGGACCTCAGACAGCTCACGAGAGGC